ATTAATAAATTTCTTTAATAATCATAGCTCGTGTCATTCACTTGCTAGCGTCACTTGTCCGCATTGTTGCTAATCCAACCGCAGGGCGGAGATTCATGGCGAATTCAATACTTTCAGTGTTTACACAAGTTTTTCTATTGTCCTGTAATTATGGCTGATTACCCGCCTAACGAAACCGTGGATATGATCAGAATTTTAAGTGAGCCCAGGAATAATTATACGACAGCTGAAAGAATTTATGCCGAAATATTTCCGGATAGACGTTATCCTAATAGGACGGTAATTAAAAGACTATGTGAAAGGACACAACAGGGCACTCTCAAATGAATACGTTAAAAATTTGGCCCTAATGAAGCCACGTCACTAATTGTTCTCGATATCGTATTTTTAAAATACGTTCTCCGTATAAAATACCGTATTTGACAAATGTTGTCAAGGTCATGACCCTGAATAACATTCAAAAGGTTTTAGCCGTCGGTTGAACACTTTGGGTATTAATGCTAATAGCCACAATATTGTAACTTTGAAGCCTTTTAACTCAAAAGATACTGAAAAAATATTTTATTATAGTGTTTTGGAAGGCTCTCGAGATACGCCATAAGAATATGCAATGAAAAATAGAGGGTTCCATTAAAAAAATTCAAAGTAACCTTATCCTAACCTTGACGACGCCACTCGAAGTTAAATTAATGATTTCATCTTATGTCCCCCTCGAAATCCCAAAACTTTTATCTGAAACATTTTTCCCTAAAATGCACTGTTCAAGAGATATTTGAAGTGATCGATTAAAATGGGCCACTCTGTATATGTGTGTATATATATATATATATATATATATATATATATATATATATATATATATATATATATATAAGGTGTACAAGTATGAAATGCGGATTTTTTTTCCAAAAAAACACGTTAAATTCGGAAGAATAATAAAAAGAGGTTTATTCAAAGTATGCTCCATTGCTAGTTACACATTTTTCCCATCTTTCGGGCAATTTATGGATATCACACCAGTAAAAATCTTCCCCTTTTGCCGCGAACCATTCATCGAGCCATTTTTTCACATTTTCGTACGAACTAAAGCGCTGTGTGAGCAAGTGTGTGACCCATCGATGCAAACAAGTGGTAATCGGAAGGAGCCAAGTCTGGTGAGTAAGCCGCATGGGGTAGAACTTCCTAGCTGAGTGCTTCCAACGTGTCGCGCACCGGTTTTGCCGTATGTGATGGAGCATTGTCATGGAGAAAAATGATCTTGTGTTGCCTCTTTTGGTATTCTGGTCGTTTTTCAAGCAGCGAACGGTTCAAATCGATCAATTGTTGTTGGTAGCGTTTGGTATTAACCGTTTCACCAGGCTTTAACAGCTCATAATAGACCACACCCTTCTGATCCCACCAAACACAGAGCATCGTCTTCCTGCCAAAGCGATTCGGTCTTGCGGTCGATGTGGATGGTACGCCTGGGTCTACCCATGATTTTTTGCGCTTGGGATTCTTAAAATAAATCCATTTTTCATCCCCAGTAACGATACAATGTAGAAACGATTTTCTTTTATATCGTTCGAGCAAAATTTCACATGTGTTTTTGCGCCTCTCCATCTGCCTCTCGTTCAACTCATGTGGTACTCATTTGCCGATTTTCTGAATCTTTCCCATCTCTAGTAGGCGATCGAAAACAGCTTGTTGACTAACGTTCAATTGCTCTGCGAGTTGTTTTTGTGTTTGTGAATCATCTTCGTCCAATAATGCTTGCAACTCCACATCTTCGTATCTTTTTGGTGGTTTTCCGTGTTCCTTGTTTGCAACATCGAAATCACCACTTTGGAAACGCCGAAACCATCGTTCACACGTATCTTGCGATGGAGCATGTTCACCATAAGCTTCTCGAAGTAATCGATATGATTCAGCAGCAGTTTTCTTCAAATGAAAACAAAAAATTAATGCTGTCCGTGAATGCTCTTTATTTGGTATAAATTTCGACATATTGAACACAGTAACACAACATATGCAAACTATGCAAACACTTTTTCAATTTATCACTCATGCGCGTTTGACACTTGTTGATGGCACAACAAAATGGCATAAATGTCAAATCTTTATACCACACA